CCAAAACCAGTCCATTTCAGCTCACTAATGCCTAGGATATCAATCTTTATGCGTTCCATTTCATTTTTGACAACTTTCAATTTTCCTAGATTCATACTTCATACACTCCATGTTCTGATTATTAATGCATGTTTGCAGCTGTTTCTCAATTTGAGTGGTGCACGTCAGCAAATGGAGGTCTCAAAAGCTTTATCTTATCCATATGAGTAAGGCTGATTTTACTCTGATAATGCAGCTATTTTCTAGTCCTACTTTGAGAGCTTTCTAAGCTAAGTGACTCATCTTCCTCCTCTGTATTGGACAATGTTTCTGGACTATTCATAAAGTTGCACAGCAATGTATCAGACAATGTTTCTCTGCTATTCATAAGGTTTTCCCTGGCCAATTCTTTGAGAAGTGGATGGCCTCCTCCTTCTTCCTAATCTCTCTCTGTCTGCAAGCTGGGCTGATACCTGTGCAACAGGTGCACCCCACTGGGTTTGAAACACCAGTGGCACAGCCTCAAGACTCACAGCAACACGTCACCACAGTAGGACAAACCGACAGACAAGTTTGTCTCCCTTAGCCAAAGTAACGGCTTCATCATTTTAAAAATCATCCAGTTTTTTTTTTTTTTTTAATTACTACTATTTTGCCTTTTATTGATTTCACATTTGGAAGTATTTTCATCCATAAAACTGCATTGAATATTGAATAAAGACCACTTTCATTTCTCAATTTAAGTAATCAGAAATGCACTTAACCCTAAATCAATCAGAGGCATGGTGTTACAAGTTGATACAATTACAAAGGCAAACAACTGTGTTTTTTAATTAACTTAAGTAACCTCACTGTGAAAGTAAGTTGAATTTTCATTAGATTTTCTGAATTACAAGAGTCACATCATTCATGTATTTGTGTTGTTGTTATGTGTTGTGGAGTCAGACCTGACTCACAGCAACCCCTCCTTGGTTTCTAAGGCAGTATCACTACAGAAGTAGATTGCCCAACCTTCCTTCTGAGGAGTGACTGGTGGGTTTGAACCGCCAGCCTTCTGGTTAGCAGTCAAGTGCCTTAGGCACCACGCTACCAGAGCTCCTTTCACGTATTTAACCAGGCTAATTCAATAATATGTGAACGGCCCAAAAGACAGACAGAGGCACAGGGGCACAACAGATGACCTGACAATCAGCTCTAGTGTTAACAGAAAAGCAAGAGAGACGTTCCATTATGGACTCAAATCTCAGATGAAGAGAAACCAAATGGGAAAATGCAAAGAATAACAAAGTAATTCTATATCTTTTTAATATAAATTTTTAGTGATTTTAAGTAGTCATGCCCTTAACGTTGTATAAAAGAATTTCAAGAGTGATGTACTCCGTGTACAAAGAGAGATCCTCCCCCAAAATGGGGAACCAATGACTCATACCTACACCTAGACTGGGTCCTGTCTCCTAAGAGAAGAAAAATCAGCCTTTATTTCTAGATAAGTCTTTTCTGCCTAATCAAATGGTCCATCAAAAAGATAATGATTCTAACTTTCCACAGAACATAGTACACTGCACAGCATGCTGTAACATATTAAGCCACTTCAAAAAAAAAAAAAAAAGAACTCGGATTTTTAAGTGATTACTATCTTCCAATGTACAACTCTTTTCAAATCACTTCCAAAAATACACTTAACCTCTTGTTTATAATGTTCTTATTTATTGGTTTAAAGCATTTCTTGACTGTCTCTGTCCCAATCACTATCACTCCTATTATTTCAGATTTTCAAGCCTTATGAAGCAGGAACTGTCAAAGGCGCCCATGTAATAAATAGTACCTCACACATAGTTAATACTAAGCATAGTGCCTAAGGCATTTGCCTGCTAACCAGAAGGCTGGCGGTTCAAACCCACCAGCCACTCCTCGGAAGGAAGATGGGGCAATCTACTTCTGTAGTGATACTGCCTTGGAAACCCAAGGAGGGGTCACGATGAGTTGGTCCGACTCGACGGGCACATAACAACAACAACAACAAAGCTTATACTAAACGAATGAAAGTTTTTAAAAATGACAAAGGAAGGATCCTTCAAGGCAAATACAATCTAAACTCTTAAGTCTAAAGGCAGTGAATGATTTTACAGATAATGAATTTCAGAGGTGGAAGAGCTAATGTGATGAGCATAAATACCTGCTGAAACTTATATAAATCATTACACTTTTCCTGGAAGTCCAAGTTCAAAAGTTCCTTCTGAAGTCCTTCCAAGAAGTCTTGGCTTTGGATGAAATTTGGGATCACACAGTGAAGAAAGGGGTTCACGTCCACAACAATGGCTTCTGTTGGAAGGAAAATATTATTTGTGACTTTTTTCCCTTTTGTATTTTTGCCCCCAAATGTCATTGCAGAGAGAATACAAAAGGGCATGGTCATGAATTTTGGGGAACCTGGTTTCTAAAGCCAAAATCTGTGGGAAGTATTTTAAGTTTGTTTTTCTTTTTTACTTACTCAATGCTATTGGTGGTATAGTGGGTAAAGCACTTGCCTGCTAACCAGAAGGCTACCGGTTCAAACTCGCCAGCTGCTCTGTAGGAAGACGATGAGGAAATCTACTTCTGTAAAGATTTGCAGCCTTGGAAACCCAATGGGGGTCGCTGTGAGTCAGAATCGACTCAATGGCAGTGAGTTTTTTTCTTTTTTTTGTATGTAAAATATTAGTCCTTAAGATGAACACACGTGATGTCACCAAAACCCAGGTTCTTGCTCTTTTCTGAGTTCTTTTAGCTCAACAATTATTTATAACTGAATTTATTTCAGATAAAAATTCTTAACTTATTTTCCCAAACTTAAAAGTCACAGTAGCAAATTAAAAATGACAGTAGCAATATTGACTGGCAATCTTGCTTTTTTTGTCCCCCAAGTTATTGTTTGGGTAAGTTACAAGGTACATACTTTTTTTTTTTTTTTAAATCAGGTCAGATGTAACCTCCAATTCCTTGATTTATACCCCAACATTCCACTCACTGCTTCGGACTGGCTAGAATAAATGCTCCTCCATTAATCACCACCATCACCACTACCACCACCTCTTACCAGATGCCAGGTACAAGGGTGCTTTACATTCAGCATCTCATTTACTCTCAACAACTCTGAGGCAGACATAGCCATCACCCTTATTCCACAAACGAAAAAACTGAGGAGTTTCTGGGAGCACAGAGCTTACATTGTACAAACTATCACCTCCCACATGCATCTAGAGCACCTAGGAGCCATCTCTTCAAAGCACTAACTGAAACAAAAATCCTTTAGAAGCAAAAGCTTAACACATTAAGCTGAGTTTTTATTCTGTGACGTTTGCAGCCATGGATGGAACTGTTCAGACTATGACCACACTTCCTAGGTCAACACGTCTATTTTCATAGACCATGTAGTTGACCTATGCTGTTCTGTCTCGTGGAGTCCATTCCACCTCATAGCAACCCCACATGATAGAGTAGACAGGACTTCTTTCTTATTTTTCCATTATCCCCCCATTTTTTAAAATTCTTATTGTGATCTGGGTGAAAGTTTACAGAGCAAATTCATTTTTCATACAGCAGTTCGCACACATTTTGTTTCATGACACTGACTGAATTCCCCACAATGCAACAGCTCTCCTCCCACTTCCTCTCTGTAGCTACCACCTCCTCATGTCCTTCTTTCCTCACAGGGCTTCCTAGGCTGTAATCTTCACAAGAGCAGATTGCCAGACCTTTCCTCCCGTAGAGCAGCTGGTGGGTTCCATCTGCTGACTTCTGGTTAGCAGCTGAGAGTTTAACCACTGCACCACCAGGGCTCCTTTGTAGTCAAACTGTAACACATTGCTGTCTAGTGGATTCTGACTCATAGTGACCCTATAGTACAGAGTAGAACTGCCCCAGTAAGGTTCCCAAAGCTGTAAATCTTTGTGGGAACAGATTGTCACATCCTTCTCCCATGGAGTAACTGGTGGGTTTGAACAGCTAACCTTTCAGTTAGCAGCTGAATACTTTACTGTAGGCATGTAAAAATGAGTAAGCTCAGGTGCCTGCTATCTGGACGCTTACAACAAATGCCCAAAGTAGACTACAAAACATCACATAAGCCACTCAAATATTCATCCAAATGTTTACCGGTCTTTCCTCAAGGGAACATTTTCTGATGTATACATGCATTAGCTCATTAATTCAATTCAACTTTCCCAGGAAAATGCTATTATTAGCCAATAGAATCCAACAACATATCAAAAAAATAATACATTACGACCAAGCAGGATTCATACCAGGTATGTAAGGATTGTTCAATGTTAGAAAAACAACTTCATCCACCACATAAATAAAACAAAGAACCACATGATCATCAGTTGATGCAGAAAAAGCATTTGACAAAATTCAACACCCATTCCTGATAAAAACAGGAAACAAAATAGGAATATAAGAATAATTCCTCAACATAATAAAGGGCATATATACAAAACCCACGGCCAACGTTAGTCTCAGAGGAGAGAGACTGCAAGCATTCTTCTTGTGAACAGATACCTGACAGGGATGCCCTTTACAACCACTTTAATTCAGTACTGCACTGGAAGTTCTGGCCAGAGCAATATGGCAAGAATGGGAAATGAAAAGCATCCAAATTGGCAAAGAAGTAAAACTATCTCTATTTGCAAATGATATGATCCTGTACATAGAAAATCCCAAAGACGCAGCAAGAAAATTAGTGGAACTAATGGGAATCAACAAAGTGGCAGGGTGCAAGATCAACATATAAAAATTAGTCGGATTCCGCTACACTAACCAAGAGAACTCTGGAAAGGAAATAAGGGAAACAATATCATTTACAACAGCCACCCAAAAGATGAAGGAATAAATCTAATCAGAGACACAAAAGACCTAAACAAAGAAAACTACAAAACCCTACTACAAAAATCCAATAGAGACCTACCTAAGTGGAAGAATTTACCATGCCCATAGATAAGAAGACTTAACATTGTGAAAATGTCAATACTACCCAAAGCAATCTACAGATATAATGCAATCCTGATCCAGATGCCATCATCATTCTTTAAAGAAATGGAAAAATTGAAAAAGAACAAGTGTGAGGTCTCACACTTCCCAATCTCAAAACCTACCATACAACCACAGTAGTCAAAACAGCCTGGCACTGGTACAATGGCAGATTATATAGACCAGTGGAACAGAACTGAGAACCCAGAAGTAAATCCATCCACTAAACTCATTAAATGGGTTAGAGATAGTCTCTTTAACTCTTTTTAAGATAGTGCTGACAAAACAGGATATCCATTTGCAGAAAAATGAAACAGGTTCCATATCTCACACCATATAAAATGAACTCAAGATGCATCAAAGACCTAAAACTATAATGACCATTAATGAAAAAATAGGGACAAACTTGGAGTCCCTGATACATGGCATAAATACACGATCAAACATAACTACAAACACACAAATACCAAAAGACAAACTGGATAATTGGATCTCCTAAAAATCAGACACTGATGCACATCAAAAGATTTTACTGAAAGAGTAAAAAGAGAAGCCACAAACTAGGAAAAAACTTTTTACAATGACATACTGGACATGGGACTCATCTCTAAAATGTATAGAAAATTTCAACACTCCAACAACAAAAAGACAAATAATGTAGTTAAAAAATGGGCAGAGGGCATGAACAGACCCTTCACAAAAGACATTCAGGTGGCTAACAAATACATGAAGAAATGCTTGCACTCAATAGCCATTAGACAGATGCAAATGAAAACGAGGTATCATCTCACCCCAGCATTAATAGCAATCTAGATACAGATCTGTATCACTATCGTCCAGTCCATTGCGACTCATAGCGACCCCTTCTTGGGTTTCTGAGACAGAGTCTCTACAGAAGTAGATTGCCCAGTCTTCCTTCTGAGGAGTGGCTGGTGGGTTTAGTCTTTCTTCTGAGGAGTGGCTGGTGGGTTTAAACCGCAGCCTTCTGGTTAGCAGTCAAACGCCTTAGGCACCAAGCCACTACAGCTTCCTATTAAAAGCAAAGTTCAGGAAAAAAAACCCAAAACAACCCAAAAACCAACAAATGCTGCTGAGGGTGTGGAGTGATTGGAACCCTCATACGCTGCTGGTGGAATTGTAAAATGGTACAACTATGGGAGACAGTATGATACTTCCTTAAAAAGTTGTAAATAGGAATACCACATGATCCATCCAGCCCAGTGCTAAACATATACCCAACAGAAATAAGAGTCATGACACGGATAGGTATATGCACACCCATGTTCATGGCAGCATTATTCACAAGGGCAAAAGGATGGAAACAAATGCTTATCAATGGCTGAATGGATAAAGAGACTATGGTACATACACACAATAGAATACTATGCAATTTTAAAGAATAAGATGAATCTGTGAAACATGTCTTAACATCAACGTACCTGGAGGACATTATGCTGAGTGAAATTAGTCAATTTCAAAATGGCAAACATTGTATGAGACCACTATTATAAGAAATCAAGAAAAGGTTTTCACTCAAAAAGAAACAGTTTTTGATGGTTACCAAAGGTGGGAGGCGGAGGGAAGGTAAGCCATAAACCACTAACGAGAGTAGACACGTAGTAACTTGGGTGAAGGGGAAGGCAATATACAGTTGGGGGAGGAAAGCAAAAAATTATCAAAGTAAAGGTAAGACACTGGGAGGAGTTGTAAAAAAAAAAAAATGTTATTAATTATCCCATTTTACAAAATAGGAAACTGAAGCTTAAAAACGTTAAATCAATCACCCAGAGACGCACAATCAATCACTGGAGAGGGCTCTTAACAGTGATTTCAATTACGAACTTGGATGTCTTCCCTTCCCTTCACTCTTTGGCCTACATTTCTTCCGCCTGTCACGTTTCTAGATTCAGACTGAACTAGGAATGAAAAGCAGTTTCAGGAGAGAGGACGGTCAGCGATGGCCAAAGTCACACTCTCTAACAGCCTCTTCCCATCTGGCCCCACTGCTCAGGGCTTGGCTCGATCCCGGTGTCTGGTCCCTGCGCGGAGGTCCCTCCCTCACAAGCACGCGGTTACCGTGACTAAACGGCATCTTGCAGCTCCAAGTGTCAGCCAATCGCTTTTTCAAAGCTTCCTCCGTCAAAGTGTCAGAAAATTTCGCTATCACTTCTTTCTTTCCCTTTTTTCCTAACCGGCTCGGGCCCGACTCTGCTGATCGTTTCACACTCATCTTGTGGGTTCTAGACATACGACACACTCTCCAAGTCGCACCTTTCCTACGAAGACTACAATTCCCTGAATCCCCCCTTCTCCCATGTTTCTCAGCGTCGTTCAAAGGGGAACTATAAAGAGAAGGCGGGACCTACAAACTGTATTACCAATGGCAACTTCAGATATTGCAGCAAGCCCACCAGCGATTGGCCCAATGGAGCTTGTACTGGCAGGCCTCTCTACTTCCTGCCGCCAGAGGTTTCTCATGTACTTCCGGCGTGCGTAAACCTCCTCTTGCGCTCTCATGTTAATGGCGGGCGGCGGCTTCTGAGCGGGACGCAGATAACCGCTGCCCGCTCGGGGAAAGTCTTCCCTGCTTGTCACTTTCTGCTCGCCGCCAGTGCCCGAGCTCGCCAGCATGTCCGTGGTGCCGCCCAATCGCTCTCAGACCGGCTGGCCCCGGGGCGTCAACCAGTTCGGCAACAAGTACATCCAGCAGACCAAGCCCCTCACCCTGGAGCGCACCATCAACCTGTAAGTGCGGTCCGTCTCCGCGCGCGGCCTTCGCTGGCATCTCCCTCGTGAGCGCGCCTATCCTCTTCCGGCGCGCCCCCGACCAGTCGGCTGGCTTCACACCGCCTCTCTCCCACCCACCCCCGGCTCCCACTCGCGGGTGCGCGCTTCTTTGGCTCCTACAGACCCCCTCCTCGTCCTCCAGCCCAAGAGGTTGGAGTCCTACTTGAGAGGGTTTTCCTTTTTCCCTGTATTCAGTCATATTTGTGGCAAGCTTTAAAAGCCGAATAAAATAAGTAAAGCATTATAGGTAAACTGAAGTCTGCTTTGAACTCCTCTTTTTCCCGCCTGCTCAGAGGCAGCCAATTTCAGATTTTGGTGTTTGTTGGTCTGGTCTAATGTTTATGCTTCCACATCACGTATGGGGTATTGTTTTGGATACTTTTTTGATATGAACGGTATACCATACATAGTGTCATTTTGCACTGTTCACTTTTTTCTAACAGTAAGCTTTTGGGATCTAACTATAGGGTATACGTTTAGTTTCTGCTTTTTAACTGCTATACAGTGTTCCCGCTTAGGCATATGCCGCATTTCATTCATCTGATCGTGACTGTCTTTCCTGTCCTATCCATTATACCTGTCTAACTGTCGCAGCGACAGCATCCAGGCACCCCATAGGCCCCAGATTGGAAGGGTGGATGCTGTAGGGTTGGGGTTTCAGATAGTGGAGGAGGGTAAGATGTTGCCCCAGAGTATCAACTGTGGGCTCTGTTTTATTTTCATCACCTTTCGGATTTAGCACTTCAAGCCATTGCTTTTCAAGGTCACTCCCAAACACAGATTTGCTGTGGCAGTAATTTGCATTTGAGGTGTGTTTTGCTAAAGGAATTATCTGGCTTTTTTTTTTCCCCTCCAAATAATTTCTGGGAGGTGGTTTTTTGAAGCAGTGTGGTGCTGACCCTCATGGAGGATAGGGATCGGTTTCTGCTGGTCAGTCTTTACAAGGTACAAGGGTTACTGATCTTGCTGTTTTGGTAAGACACTTTAGGTTTCTCTGTTTTATATTAAAATAAATGAACTTTTTTCCTGCAAAACACAATTTGAAATGGAAAAATGGTTGTTGCTGTTGTTTTATTTAGAACCACTGGCTTGGAAATTAAGATAATAAAAATGTTGGGTTTATAAAATCAGGAAGTTTTTGATAGTTGTGTATATAAGTTCGGTGTTACATTAACATATAATAGTACTTTAATATTATTTCACTTTAAAAATTTTTATAAGATTTTCATGAAGTGGAAGAGGCAAATTAAAGACAGCTTCTGGATTACATTCAGTGGTAATGAGAATTAAGATCCACAGTTTTTCCTTCGTTTTCCTTACTGTCTGAATCAATTTGCATCAAGCCATTATGTGTTTTTTTTTTTTTTTAATTTGTAACTAGGTGATAGTGCTTTCGGTAAAATATTTTAATTGTTGCAGCCTTAGAATTATGAGTTGATAGATTTACAGCACTTTTCCTTTCCTATATAAATACCAAACTCACTGCCATTGAATCGTTTGACTCATAGCAACCCCCATTGGGTCTCTGAAGCTGTGAATTCTCATGGAAGTAGATCACTGTGTCTTCCTTCTGTGGAGCGGCTGGTGGGTTTGAACCACTGACCTACCGGTTAGCAGTCAAGTGCCTTATCCACTATGCCACCAGAGCTCTTTATATTTAAATATATTTGTTATATATATGTATACATATTCAAAACAAAAAAAACTCACTGTTTTTTGACTCATAGTGGTGCCTCCTTATGTTTCTGAGGTGGTATCACTACGGAGATAGATTGACCAGTCTTCCTTCCGAGAAGTGGCTGGTGGGTTTGAACTGCCAGCCTCTGGTTAGCAGTCAAATGCCTTAGGCATTACACCACCAGAGCTCCCATATACACATTCTTTATATTTATTATATATTTATTTATATATAAATACAGTATTCAGGAATAATCGTTGTGCTGTAAACTCAACTCATATGAATATGTCTGAGCTATTAAATTGAAAACAAATCTCTCTCTCAACCCCTAGTATATTTTCTTTTAAGGAAATGTTGCACAAATGCCTGTTTTGTTCCAGGCACTGTACGTGGTACTGGGTATACAATGGTGAGGAAGTAAGATGTGGAGCCCTGCCTTAGGGAGCTCACAAGATGATAGGCTTAAGGCTGGCATTCTGATTGCACAGCTGAAAATTCTGATACTTCATCTTGATGACGTCTCCCTATTTCTGTGGGAGCTGGCTCTTGCAGTGGAGATGTTACGTTGTTGTTAGGTGCTGTGGGTTGGTTCCAACTCATAGTGACCCTGTGTACATCATGAAACGCTGCCTGTTCCTGCACACCATCCTCACAGTCGTTGCTGTACCTGTGCCCATTGTTGCAGCCACTGTGTCAATTCATTTCATTGAGGGTCTTCCTCTTTTTCACTGTCTACTTTACCAAGCCCAATATTCTTCAGTGTCTGGTCCCTTCTGAAAACATAACCAAAACATGACAGGAGATGTTAAAGCTATCCCTAATTCTTTCTAACCTCAGGTGCTGAGAACTGATTGTTAATATATATAAAGAATTAAAAAAATTGTCTGTCACAGTGATGTGTGATACCTGCTGACGCCAATGATGTTGGGCTCAGCATTGGGTCTATTAGAGAAGTAGAGAAGTTCTTTATACACCCACTACTCACTTTGCAACATGGTGAGGTTCCAAAGACCAGATTGTTATGTGAATGGTATTATGGGCAAATTACAATAGGCTAGGGCTAACCAAGACTGTTTGGAAGTTTTCTTTGGCTTACTACAGTCAATGAATGCATAAGAGATGATAACTGTCAAATTACATCATTACATAACTGCTAAACCACTGAGAATCATGGCCCAGCCAGTTGACATATAACCTAACCATCACAGCCAGTGTTACCGCACCTCACACCTCAGGATTTGTAACTACCAAACATGAGTCGTTAATGCACAGAATAGTCGGGTAGATTTTTTACTATCACAGATGCACAATGGCAGATAATGGGATAGTTGATGAGTGAGGAGTAGGTGTACTCTTTAATGTACACTGAAAATGGTTTATTTTGGCTGGTGTTTTAGAGCTGCTTCACTTATGCCTAGAATTTGGCTAGAAGTAATTTGATTTTAGTTTTGGCACCCTTGATTTGTTCTCCTTTCTAGGATAGCTGAGTAGATTAAATAAGCAGAAAAACCAAACCTCCTGCCATAAAATCTATTCCGATTCATAGCAAACCTCATTGGGTTTCCAAGACTGTAAATCTTTACAGAAGTAGACTGCCTCATCTTTTTCCTGTGGAACAGCTGGTGGGTTTGAACCACTGACTTTCTAGTTAGCAGGCAAATGTCTTACCCACTGCACCACTAGAGCTTCTTAAGTAAGCGATAGTTGACTATTAATGTCAAGGCCTTTTGATAGATACCTTGGGGATAGGCAAGTCTGACAAAAGCATTGTTATACAAAATTATGTGTAATTGAAGGATACTAAGTGGTATGCATGATAAAATATAAATGTAGGATTTTAAACTATTTTTAAGGAAAACTTGGAACTTTATCAGGCAAGATGAAAATTGTCTTCAACATTATGAACCTTATTTCGAGTTCTTGGTAAAGGAAGAGGGAACAAATGAAGGAATATATACAGAAGATGAGACTAAGGGTAAGGGAAGAATAAAGACCCTGAACTGAGTGGATGCATGATGCCAGAATGGCTTCTGACTAGGTTTAGAAGGGAAAGAAAAAAAGGCCAAATAAGAGATCTGAAGAGGAAAATGTTGTGGTGGCAAGAAAACCTGAGAGGTGACTTGGAGAAGTGGGGGGTAACTGGGGCAGCACTGATGGATGTGGTGCCTCTGCTTACGAGCAGGATGGGATTGGCTATAGCGGCCATAATCAATAAGATTTCTGGTTAGATTAGTCATTAGTGGAACCCAGGGAGACATTAGCCAAGTTGGGAGTGCCGGTATACCAGCTGTGATCTAAAACCAGAGGATTACAAGATGTCTGCTTCTCTAAGCGTTTAAGGGTGATAGGCTCCAGCATAGCAGTGATTCTGAGGATGGCACAGGATGGGGCAGTGTTTCTAGCCGCTTTGCTCAGGGAACCAAATCACCGGAACCTCACAGCAGGCATTAAAGGGCCTTAAGAAGAGTGTTGTTTAGGCTTGGAACTTCCAGTAGGGAGTAGCAGCTTGGTCTAATGGAAAGCTGTGACCTTAAGAGTCCAGAGAGCTGGATTCTAAACTCCACTGTCTTTTAACCAGCTGTGTAACTTTGGACAAATCCTGTATGTCTGAGTAATAGTTTCTGTTATGGTCTCCTTATATGTAATTGATGTCTGTTGTGGTAAAGAAATTTTGATCTTCAGTTCTCATGTTAGGTGTTGTCTCTGAATCTTAGGTACCCTCTTACCAATTACACGTTTGGTACAAAAGAGCCCCTGTATGAGAAAGACAGCTCTGTTGCAGCCCGCTTTCAGCGCATGAGGGAGGAATTTGATAAAATCGGAATGAGGAGAACCGTAGAAGGAGTTCTGATTGTACATGAGCACCGCCTGCCCCATGTGTTACTGCTACAGCTGGGAACAACTTTCTTCAAATTGTAAGTGTTGGAAATTAACAGCATGACAGCTTTTAATGGGATTGCCATTTTATGTAGCTTTGGAATACAGTCATAGGCCTTAGTCATTTCTTCAGTAGCACTGCTGTTGGTGGAGTCTTTGGAAAGAGAAAGCTTTCCATGAGCAGCTCTCCTGTGCAGTGCTCATTTATTGCCTCGCTCCAGAGCTGCACTACACGTTTCTGTGTATTGTTGATGTTGATGACTGAGCTTGATTGAAGTTTCTTAACATAGATTAGTCCCAGCTTGATTTCTAGACTTCATGATGGCATTACTGAGTCATTGGTACTGTTGGCTTTGCAGTGTGACTAGTGTTTCCTATTCGTAAAATGACTTTCATTTTCAAAGACAACAATTTACTTTTATCCTTTACGCTCATAAATCTCTCAGTTTGTATTTAGACCATGACTATTTGAACAGAGATCTCAGATACTTAGATTGAAGTTCTTGAAAAAAGGTCCATTTCTCAGGGCTGAAGAATGGGGGCCATTGCCTCTCTCGACCTTTCTAGACTCCATGATCACCAGGTTGCTTCCAGAGAAAAGAGATTGGGATGAACTGGTGGCCAGCAATTAGATTTTTTTTCCCATCTGGTTTATGTTATAGAATATATTTTATTTGTCTAAAACTAGAGTCTGTATACTGTTAATCTGGTGAATTAACATAACAAATTCAACTGTCTAGCGTATTCTTTTCATTGTTTGTAACACTTATTTGCTTTGCTTGCCTTATCATATGCCATTATTGACTTACTTGATAGAAATAACTATTGTGTTCTTCCTGTTATCCCAAAATTGTATTAAGTTGAAAGCTGAAATTCTTAACCTTTATGCAGACCTGGTGGTGAACTTAATCCAGGAGAAGATGAAGTTGAAGGACTAAAACGCTTAATGACAGAGGTATTTTTCTATTTTACCACTTTGAAGTTTTTATTTTTGCCCATGTGAATACCATCAATTTAGCACCTACTTAGGCTTTTTATGACTTAAGAAAAGAATGTTTATTTTGAATATTTAGTTTTCAGTAAATAAAACTTAAACCCAAGAGTGTTAATGTGGTGTTTATTTTCCGCAAGTTGGAGCTGATAATTACTTTTTAAATTTTATTTTTCATTTAAATGTTGATGCAACAATAATGGTTAATAAAAGCCAATGTTTATTGACCGTTTACTCTGTGTTTGCCACAGTGCTACCTGCTTTACATGCACTAACTCTTTTAATCATCAGCCCAGGAGGTAGGTACTGTTGTTAATGTTGTTCTACACGTGTTGAAACTGGGGCACAGAGAGGTGAAGTAACTCGATGTTAGACCAGTCGTCTCTGTCAGTTCATTGTGCTGTGGTGGCTTGTGTGTCGCCACACAACTAGAAGCTATGCCACTGGTATTTCAAATACCAGCAGGGTCACCCGTGGAGAAGAGGTTACAGCGGTGCTTCCAGATTAAGACAGCTTGGGAGGAAGGATGAGCCCATCCACTTCTGAAAAGATTGGCCACTGAAAACTTATGAATAGCAGTGAAACTCACTGGTCTCTTCCTGGGTATTAGTTTTGGAGCTGGAGATTCGAATGCGGGCAGTCTTGTTCCACAGTCAACCTCTACAGAGTTTTAGCAAGAGAAAGATTTCT